TGATGCAAAAATTAGTCAGAATCTGGACAACCAATGGTAATAGTTACAATAAAGGCTCTTGAGTTTTTAAATTTTGTGACTACTGGAGTTATTTTGTGGGTTTTGTTAAATATTAGATTTTTTAATGTGGGCTCTGTAAGAATTATGTGGTTTGATATAGGTTTTGGAGAGTGGTGTTGTTTATTGATTCTTATATAGTTTGGAGGAGTTTATCGTCAACAGAATGGAGGTGAATCTGAAGTTGGCATGTTTGAACTGTAATAGTTGAAAGAAAAGGGGGGCGAAGTTAAAGGATAGGTTGAGTGAATCTGGAACGGCTGCAAATGTGTTCTGGAGGAAGAAAGGGTGCGTGGATTGGTGGGAGAAATTAGATGACACTGTCAATAAGAAGGTGTTTCAAACTTTCTTAGGAAAAGCCACAAAGTCACTGGTACTTCTATTTGGTTTTTATTACGGATTTGTTTTTGCTTTCTTTATGTGTGTATTTACTACTAATTTCTTTAGTGCTGTGCATTTTAATATGTGGGTGAGATTCATTTTGACATAAAAATGATGTAAATTTGATGTTAATTATGACATTTGTAATCATGTTTAGTGTGGGGAACTGACTGCAAACTCATTAGAGCGGATGACTAGTCTTACAAAGTGAATTGGTTTTCTTTTTGTTAGTTAGACACCAATTTCAAATACATTATGTGTGGAGTTATTTACAAATTGGCTCATAATTACTTTATGTTTCTACTTTTTACTGTCTCTTTCTTGTTGAACTAGGGTCTCTTGATTGTGATCACAGGCACCAGCAATGTTGAAGGGTAAAGATTGCATCTTGGTAGACAAAATATGGCCATATTATAATTGTGGTGAGCAGCTGTTGAGATGCAATTTTACATTTACGGGTGGAAGGGACATTGCTAAACTCAAAGGAACAAATTCTAAAATTAAATGGAATGTTAATCCTGCACCAGTTTCCGGAAACTCTTCTCCACCGAACTGCATGTTCAATAGTGTGTACATTCTTCGGATTATTTCTACTATGTTTTTAGCATCTCAGCATGGTCCTATGATCAAGTGAAACTATTTTTCACATCATTGGACTCTGCAAATAGCATTTCTGACATTATACTAAGAAATTGAGAGAGTTGCTCATGGTTATTTCTCTTGATTGCACAAAAATTGAGCTACTTGAGGAGGGAAATTGGAGTTCCCTAAAAAGCGCATAAAGACCCGGGTTGTTACACTACCTAGCAAAAACTATCTGGTTATGCTAGGTATTGTGCTCTTGTATTGTCCATGCCGCAAAGATGTTTTGACTACCTTTCCAACTCCAATACGATTGAGCACACTCCAGGAGCATCACTCATTTTCTTATGCTGATAGAGGACTGCTTGACAATTGATGATTATGTACTGTTATTTATATGCAATTTTTGCATCATTTACTTGCTGCTTATCACCAAGTTGTTATGATATCCTTTTTTCCATATTGGATAAACTGTGGCTTTCTTATTGGATAAGCACAGGGGAGTAAGCGCAATTTCTTATGAATTTTTTCCGTATGTTTTTTATGGTGCTTATGTTGATATAGAAGGCTAGTTATGTGAATAGACA